TTAAATATATCCAAAGAAAAAAAATATATATGAAAAGGGGAAAAAAGTTACAAAATATTAAAATAAATCAAAACAGTAAGGAGAAATAATTTGGTTTTTTTAAAAAGGGTAAAGTAAAAACAAAACAAAAACAAAAAAAAACACAAAATACAAACAAAACAAAACCCAAAAAGAGAGGGAAAAAAAAAAAAAATACTAAAATTTAAACCTGCTTTTCTTTTCCACTTGGTATTAACTAATACCAACCACAGTCCACCAGTTCACCAACAAACTCCTGTTGTTTTAAACTCCTACTTTAAATAGCCTACTTTCAAGCAAACTCCAGTGAGCAAGCTCTGTGAGTCAGTAGTGGGTTTATATTTGCAATACAAATCCCACACAGGTGGAAATTAAGGGGCACTCCCCCTAATTAGCTCAGCAGCAGCAGCACCCACAAGGAGGGGAATAGAAACAACAAGAGAGGGGGGAAAAAAAAAAGAGGGAAAAAGTTTTAAATAATACCAGCAAGGTGAAAATATATAAGAGAAAAAAAAAAACAAAGTTTAAATACAAAGTTTAAATATATCCAAAGAGAAAAAATATATATGAAAAGGGGAAAAAAGTTACAAAATATTAAAATAAATCAAAACAGTAAGGAGAAATAATTTGGTTTTTTTAAAAAGGGTAAAGTAAAAACAAAACAAAAACAAAAAAAAACACAAAATACAAACAAAACAAAACCCAAAAAGAGAGGGAAAAAAAAAAAAAATACTAAAATTTAAACCTGCTTTTCTTTTCCACTTGGTATTAACTAATACCAACCACAGTCCACCAGTTCACCAACAAACTCCTGTTGTTTTAACTCCTACTTAAAAGAGACTACTTTAAATAGCCTACTTTAAAGCAAACTCCAGTGAGCAAGCTCTGTGAGTCAGTAGTGGGTTTATATTTGCAATACAAATCCCACACAGGTGGAAATTAAGGGGCACTCCCCCTAATTAGCTCAGCAGCAGCAGCACCCACAAGGAGGGGAATAGAAACAACAAGAGAGGGGGGGGAAAAAAAAAGGGAGGGAAAATGTTTTAAATAATACCAGCAAGGTGAAAATATAGAAGAGAAAAAAAAAAGGAACAAAGTTTAAATATATCCAAAGAGAAAAAATATATATGAAAAGGGGAAAAAAAGTTACAAAATATTAAAATAAATCAAAACAGTAAGGAGAAATAATTTGGTTTTTTTAAAAAGGGTAAAAGTAAAAACAAAACAAAAACAAAAAAACACAAAATACAAACAAAACAAAACCCAAAAAGAGAAAAAAAAAAAAATACTAAAATTTAAACCTGCTTTTCTTTTCCACTTGGTATTAACTAATACCAACCACAGTCCACCAGTTCACCAACAAACTCCTGTTGTTTTAACTCCTACTTAAAAGAGACTACTTTAAATAGCCTACTTTCAAGCAAACTCCAGTGAGCAAGCTCTGTGAGTCAGTAGTGGGTTTATATTTGCAATACAAATCCCACACAGGTGGAAATTAAGGGGCACTCCCCCTAATTAGCTCAGCAGCAGCAGCACCCACAAGGAGGGGAATAGAAACAACAAGAGGGGGGGGAAAAAAAAAAGAGGGAAAAAGTTTTAAATAATACCAGCAAGGTGAAAATATATAAGAGAAAAAAAAAAAAAAAAGGAACAAAGTTTAAATATATCCAAAGAGAAAAAATATATATGAAAAGGGGAAAAAAGTTACAAAATATTAAAATAAATCAAAACAGTAAGGAGAAATAATTTGGTTTTTTTAAAAAGGGTAAAGTAAAAACAAAACAAAAACAAAAAAAAGAACACAAAATACAAACAAAACAAAACCCAAAAAGAGAGCAGGCCGAAGGAAGGATCAGCACCAATCTACTTTATCCCCTTATCCTGCAGATCCAGATTATCCTATACATGCCCGATATCACTGAATTTATGTGAGTGGTTTTAATCTTTTGATAAATAAACCATTACGTTTTAATAGAGAGCACTATGGCTGTTTATTTTATATTTCAGATCACAGTGAAGATCCTGCCACTTTAGATCTGTCACTGTGATCTAAGTGGTTTGATATTACCTTGTGCTTTTTTTACTGTGCCATATGATGTGTTAGTACCAGATTATTTGATACCTATTTTCCATTTTATATCATAGGTTATATTTTATCAGCCTTGGATATTTTGCAGCTCGTGTTACCCAATAACAGGAGTTGTGCATCCAGATAGCTGACACAAAGTTGCATTAAGACATTGCTACAACTGGTTCCACTATTGTGAATTTATGGACTTTATTTGATGGGAAATTCTACTCAGTTTGAATTGTATTCTATTGAGTAACACTTTGATGTGACATGCTATATGTTGTTGTTTTTTTGCCCATTTTTATAACTTGTATGTATTATTTTATTTATTTCTATTGGTTTACTTCTTAGTTAATCAAGCCCCACTCCACAAACAGGGGCATCACCTTTCCTGGACACTTTTGATATAGTGTCTGATATTATTATTATTATTATTATTATTATTATTATTATTATCTATTACTACTTTTACTATTGAATATCTTGTTCTGTTTAGGCTTTGGTATTTTACTAGTCCACTGCCCTTTACCATTGGGGCTAGCACTTTTCCTATATCCTTTTTTAGCCCAACTATACGTTTTTACATTATACCTGGTACGTTTAGGATCTAGTATCCTTACCTTTTACTGTCTGTATAGTAGCTAAAGATACATTTATGCAAAGACAAAAGGGGACTTAAATTTAAGTAGAAAGCTGTTCCAGATTTAAACCCAGAGGTAGTAAGAAACAGAGATACATATCTGAGCCTAAATATTTTGGGCAACCATAATAACTCTAGGAGGACTATCTAATAACTTGGTTCCTCTCTATATTCACTCATTGAATCGTCCCCTCAGAAGCATATAGTGTGACTGGTTGTGCTAGAATATTGGCTAATATTGTAGCAGATTAGGGACCCCCATTTTCCCTGACAGGTGGGACCTTGGAGTAACTTCAGATAACTCCTTGCACTATATTTATACAAAATAAAAGAGGTAGTATCTGTTGTGCTGTTTTTCAATATGAAGCAGGTAGTGAAATTGGTAATGTGAGGAATAAGAACAAGAACTTCAGTAGGACCATCATTTTGGATGAGATCAGGAGGCTTTTCCAAGAGTTAAGGGTTTGCCTAAGTTGACGAGAAGAGGAATTAGTTATCTTTATACAGAGCGGGTTATGTTCTGTTATCTTACTATCGAGGTATTAAAAAAAAATCTACAAAATCAACCTAAAAGACACTATTATTAGAGTTTAGTGGACACCTAGATGTTCGGGCCTGGCGAGTTCGGCTGAACTTCAAAAAAAGTCCGGGTTCGGGATCGAACTTGACCTCGAACCCGAGCCCCATTGAAGTCAATGGGGACCCGAACTTTTGGGCACAAAAATGGCTCTAAAAAAGTCCTGGAAAGGGTTAGAGGGAGTAAAATGGGGGTAAGAGTAGGACAAGTGCCCTGCAAACAAATGTGGATAGGGGAATCACTTAAAATAACATAAAATACATAAAATAAGCAGCCGCTTAGTATATAACTATTTACCAAAAGGCTGAAAGACCTAAAATGGTCTTTCAGCCAAATTTACTAATACTAAGTAAAGATTACTTAGTATTAGTAAATTCGGCCCCTACTCGTTATACCGCGAGTAGGGGCGTGTCTAGTAAACAGTGAGCAGCCAGTGGCTGCTCACTGTAAAAAAAATAAAAGAACCTATTGCCCCCACCCCTGTGTGACAGTTGCGGACCCTAAATAAGAATGTGGGGGGGCCTACTGTCCTCCCCGACGGCCCCCACCCCTGCGCGACGGGAGGGGGCCCTAAATAACAATAAGGGGGGACCTACTGTCCTCCCCCCCTGGTCCCCACCCCTGAGCGGCGGGTGGGGGCCCTAAATAAAAATTTAACCCCCCCAGGGGACTAGGGGTCCCCAATCCCCTAGTCACCCCCTTACCCCCCAAAAAATAACCCCTACCTACCCCCTCATCCTAAAAATAATGAGGGGGGACCCTTATCTAAATACCTGTAAAAAACAAAACAAAATAGACTTACCATTTGATGTCTTCTTTCTTCTAAACTCTTCTTTTTTCAACCCCCAAAAAGGCCAAATAAAAATCCATAATAACCGACACACTTTAGGGGAGGGGACCAGGGGGGGAGGAATTTAGGTTTCCCCCCAATTTTTATCCTCCCCCTATTGATATTTAGGGCCCCCACCCACTGCTCAGGGGTGGGTGTGGGGGGGGACACTTGTTCCCCCCCTTATTGGTATTTAGGGCCCCCACCCCCCGCTCAGAGGTAGGGCCCGGGGGGGAGGGAGAAGGTCCCCCCTTTAGTTTAAAAACCCCATTTGCGCGTCGTGGGTGGGGACTCAGGAGGAGGGAATGTTTTTGTTTTTTTAACAGTGAGCAGCCACAGGCTCACTGTTTAATAGACATGCCCCTACTTGTGGTATAGCGAGTAGGGGCATAAGTTAATAATACTAAGTAACCAGCTTATATAGAGGCTGAGTCACATGCTGCACTGGCCAATCACAGCCATGCCATTCTTGTGTTCTTGAAATATACCGTTAGCTTTTCTTCCCATCCTCCCCACCTATTACCCACTGAGTGTGTTTTATTCACTAATAGGTGTCTCTGTACATCCAATATTTTGTTATGCCGAGGTAAACCAAATAGACCGATCTCCATTCAAAAGCAAACTCCTGCACCATAGTGGCAACCTCTTAATATTTATAGGGGGGGCCTTGATTTTCAAGGTATTTAAATTATAGTAGTTCAATTTACCAAATTGAGACAGTAAGGAGAGCAGAGTTGGGTAGGAAACTCTAGGGTTAGACATTGTTAATAGAATGTCATTGTCAAATAATGACATTAGATGTTCCTGTGCTGCTATCTGGATGCCTGTGATTTCAGGGTAGGATCTGATGACTATGGATGATGGTTCTAGAGAGAGATTATAAAGTAAGGGAAACAGAGGATACCCCTGCAGTGTACCATTTGTTATGAGGGAAAGAGATGAGAAAAAAACCGAGAGTTAAATACATTTGCTGATGGATTTTGGTATAGGACCATAACTCAATTATAAACTCTTTGGGGAACTCATAAGAGAGTAGAATCTGATTTAAAAAAATCCCAATTTAGCTGCTCAAAGGCCTTGTTTGCGTCAAGGGTTAGAAAGAGGATTTGTTGGTGTAGTTGGGAGGTGGTGGAGAACATTAAGCACCCTCCTGGTAATTTTATGAACCCCAATTGGTCATAATGTATTCATTCTGGAAGATGTGGAGCCAACCTGTAAACTAACAGCTTTGTGTAAATTTTGGTATCCCTAAGAGAGATTGTGTGAAAATGTTGTCAAGCTTTTGGCACCTTCCCTGGTATTGCCAGGTAACATCTCCTCTGGGAACCATCCCCTCTGGAAACCGGAATCTATTATTTTTGATTGAAAAGGAGCAAACAGTTTTACTTTTTAACTTGGGCTCACATGACAATGTTCCCTGACTCTTCCTTTCTGGTGCTGAGCTAGTGGAATTAGCTCTCCTGAACAAAGCCCTGCTCATGGACTTGGACATGGAATATGTGCCAGTACATATTTACATTGGTCCCCGATAAAATCAAAAGACTATGTAAGTCAGTATACATTGTTTTATGTGGTTTTTATTATATTGCCAATATTCATAACTAAACCTGATTTTTTTTTTATATATATATAGCTGTACATGTGAAAATATACTTAATGCGCATAGCAAACATCTTATCAAATTTTCAGTATGTTACAAAAATTTAGATGAACCAAAAGAGTGTGAAAATGGGCCAATCAGTGTACTGCAAAATATATACATAATATAATGGTTCTACCAGACTATCCACTTTTGTTTCCCAGATCAAGTAAGAAAAAGTGAACAACAGAGGAAAAAACATGAGGAGTGGTAAAAAAACTAAAAAAAACCCTTTATATATTTCTATGTTACATTTTTATTACACTTATATTAATTTATGTTTTTATATTTATTTAAAATGTATATTTTTTGACACCACTCCTGACATTTTCCCATCATTTATCTCTTTTTTTCAATGCAACCTATCATCCAATCTCCCTAAATTCAAACTAATTGCAGTTCAGACCGAAACAAATCACCAAGTTTATGCAATTTCATATTTCTCTTTTCTAAAAATAAATGTAGTATAAGGTCCATTGCTAATAATGTTGTAATTCTGCAAAACTGAGGATATTAAGGGCCTATCTCGGTGTGACCAACACACTTATTTCTTTCAAATGGTGTCATTAGTTTATAGAAATAAAGCTCATCATCATGGTTGTATTTTCAGCAATTAGTTTTTTATCTCTATGATCGAATACAAGAGGTTGTTCAATCAAACCCTGCAGAGTTTGTGTTATAAATTGCTATCAGTCTATCCACTTTTATAGGTTCCTTGATTTTCTTTTTGTATCTCTGATTACTTAGCTTGGGTTTAACTTGAAAGCCGGATTCCTTTATGGAGTGTGTGTATGTGTGAGTGTGTGTGCGTTTAAATGTACATGCAATCTGAGAATTATTATATCCCTTTTTTCAATGGAAATTAGAGCAA